TTCTATTTTTAAGTTTTTTAGAGACCTTTATACTGTTTTCCAATTTACATTTCCTATGCTAAATTACATTTCCGCCAACAGTGCACATGGGTTCCCTTTTTTTCACCTTCTCACCAACACTTGTTATTTTTTATCTTATTGATGATAAATTTATTTTAATACTTATTTTCTGTGGGAAACCAGGAATTTACTTGCATGTTATAATATACTTAAAATTTATTATGCAATGAGGGGAAAAAGGGGACATCTATAATACTTTCAACAATTAAGATAAATTAAAAAAATTTATTATGGAAATTTAAAAAATATAGGCAACACAGTACAGTAAAGCTTCAGTGGGTACCCACTCATGGCTTATCTTGTTTCATATACCCCCTCACGCATTCTTTTCTCTATTTTTTTAAATGTCGGAAGTTTTAATGTACCTTTGAAAAGAAATCAAATATTAAGGTAGAATTTCCTTGGAGGTTTCCAATCAGTGGCTCCGGGTTACCACTTGTGGAGATGTAGAAAGAGGGCTCTCTGATCAGTAACTTTTAGGGGCAGCTACCAGAACTATCCCAAATATGCTGTCCTAACATATTTATAATGCCCTTTAATGTTTTAGTGATGATTGAACACACTTATTACGGCTGTTAAAATAGATTTCGCTTCAGTAGTCCACAGAATATGGTATGTAGTGTCCTATATATACTCAGCATGTAAGTTTCTATAATCTCCATAGGTTAACAGATAAAAAAAAACAAGTAAATGCTTTGAGTATTTTTGGTTGCAAAATTAGAGTATTTTTATTTTCAGGTAAACTACTGTAATAAGTGGAAGTCTGTGGTAAAGAAAAAGTGTCATTTTGGAAGGAAAAAAATTAAATTTTAAGCAGAAACATTCTTTCAATAATTGTATCCAAAGTATTTTCCTATTAAATTTGCTGAGCTGTTAGATTGAAGATATTGGTATAACTTTGACTTAGGCCCAGGCATGGAGCCATCATTTTGTGTAACTTGAATGGGAACCCCTTTATTTACTTTTTTGCTTGAGCCTGTAATTAAACCATAATTTAACTGGGTCACTGCTATAGCAGTAGCGGCTCCTTTAGCTGCTCTTTTTGTTGGAATGGATGTTGTACTTTCCCATGCAAAATTAGTACAAACATAATTAACTCAGCTGCCTCAGATAAGTGTTTTTTAATCAGATATGTCTTATATATCAATTGGAAATATTGTGATGATTTAATCACACACTGCCTTTAATGCTGAGACTATTTTGTGTTCTCAGGTTGTGTTAATGGGGTTTGTGTCAATAGAAAGATTCACCGAATTAAGAGGAGCAGAGAAATAGCCTTTCATGTCTATGTGGATAACTTTTTAAAAGTCAATTTTATATTTGAATCAGGGACAAGCATATTCTCATGATGATTCACATGATCATTTTAAAGTGAGTAAACAGGCTATATTTTAGCTTTGCCTTTTTTCTTTTTTATACTTAATCTCTTAGATGAACTGGACACACACATTCCTAATTCACTCCTTCCCCTCAAGAGCATATTTTTGTAGGTGATGGTTTTATTGTCATGAAGTGGGAGTTAAAAACAAACAAACTAGAACTGGGGTTTCATTATTGTGAGAGAAAATGGTTTTGGACCAACTACTTGAAATTAAACTGAAGTTCCCATTCTTAGTAGATATGCCTCAGTGTAGCTGGAGAAGAGCTGACCTGTGAAAGAAAAAAATGTATGTCAGAGTGCCTGATGGGTCATTTTATTTCTCTCTAGGTACTTTGTACGTCAGAGTATATCATTCAGTAGCCTAGGAGTATATTTTGCAACCCATTCTTTTGGACAGTTTAAGAAATTATATTATTTGAATTAAATCTTGAATGATGTCTTTTTGCATTTATTTCCTCTTTCTTTTTTAATGGTTGATAATATCCTATATAAAAGTATTTAGAGATAAAAATGTAGCCATTTCCTGCTTGTGGGTTTTAGCTTCTTCACACTTTGTATTCAGAACCAAGTCAGAGATGGGATTCAGGGAGCTCATCAGACGACACTGTCAACACTAGTAGGTAAAGCAGATTGTAGAGTGAAGTTGGACCTGGTGACCAGTGGGTCTGTTGATCTGTATGCATGCCCAGATTTACTAACACCCTGCAGAGCAGTGCTGGAAAACTTGAGGCTGCTTCCACAGGAGGAGGCCACTTGCAGAACGTGGTTTTGCAGAAAGCACGTGTGTTCTGAGAGCAAAGTGTTCCGAAAGAAAGAGCTCCAGAGATCGCCATGTGGGGTGCTTTTTTTCTTTTTTCTCATAGTCTAACAAACAAATTGCTCTCTTTCCCTTAGAGAGGAATGAATTATGTAAGAAGAGGTCACTAGTATAGTGATTTTCAAACTGTTTGACTGTGAGCCACAGTAATAAATGCATTTTAGCTATGACCTGGTACACATAACACACACGTGTGGAACAGGTTTCATGAAACATTGCTTATACTTAACATATTAATGCACTTCAGTATTTTCTATTCTACTTTATTAAAATAAATGCTAGTCATTGCCTTTTAAACTGATTTATTGTCATATAAGTGGAATTGGTACAGTTAGACAAACTAAACTGGCTCCAACAGATGTATTCCCACAAAAAACATGAGTCAGGGACTTAGATGATATCATTTCTACCCACAGCCTAGCTACCTAACATTCAAGGATGTTGTGCTATGCTTAACTTGAGAGAGAGAATTATTTATACAAATACTGGTTAGAGAAAATAAAATCTCAAATTTATTTATTTCTCTTCAATGCTTCTCATCTACTATGAAAGGAAAAATTATATGTAGGATTGCTTAATGTATCATTTTATTTCTCTCTAGATACTTTTTCTAGATTAAGGTAGGCCAGAGAAGTCTGTTCTCATACGGTACTGTTCTCTACTCCTATAGAATTTTTTTCACCTAACTGCATATAGGTGATATGTCACTGGTCCACATGGAAGGAGTGTGTAAGATGTTACCCAGTGTCACTCATTACAGTTCCTTAAGGATAGTGTTCACTTGGTGGGAGCCAGCTTTAGAAAGACTCAAAGGAGAATTTATTGTTTGCTTTTGGTATAGGAATAGTGCTTTTTCTTCTTAGCACTTGGTTTAGTTTTGTGTTAAGGACACTGTGATTCATGGAATGGACCATGTTGCCCTATTTGTGTTGGCAGCTGGAAGTTAGACAGTTAAATTTGTGGCCTATATTTATGAGACTTAATCATATGCAGTTTCTTCACGGACATCATCATCCTGGGGTTTTTTTACTTTTTCGTTTGTCCTAACGTTCTCATATATTTAAAAATCTTATAGTTTGTATGCCACTTCAGGTCCTTTATAGGAATAAATATTTATAATTAGATTTTAAAAGACAAATAAACTGAATTGTTAGAAAAGTGCAATCTTGAGTTTGTGAATTTGTAAGTTTGTTGTGATTTGTTTGTTTTAAAAAATTATTTAAATAAGCATTTGTTGTTAAAAAGTCTGTTTAAATTCATCCCTATGCCGTGGACTGTTGTTACTTTTAAAACATTTAATATCTGTTGGTGTCACGATAAAATATGATTTTGGAGGCTAAAGTAAACCTTGTAGATTCTCCAGATCTCTTCTGGAATGAGACTGAATATAATTAGAATGGAATGTTTTCAGTTATTTTCATCTAACAGTGGTGATAAAGTAATAAAACATCAATTCTGTAAGTTATACATGTTAGTCCTTTTCAATACGTAAAATCAAGTTATGTGTAGAATATTTTAAAAACTGAGTTCATAATTTCCCTAATAAATTTCTGCTAAGTTTGTGCTGTTAGTTGCCAAACAACTGGGTTTTTAACCAAAATAAGTTTATCATGCTGTTGGAGGTGTATTAAAAATTGTTTGTTTAGAAATTACTTAAATTTGAAAGGAAGATTGAATTAATTTTGATTTATAATTTTAATTTAGGTGTTTATATACTTTGATCTCTGTATATAATTTTATTAGCAAATTTCAGAATATTACCTAATTAATGTTGTAAATCTTACATACCAAATAGGTTTAAAAATGACTTGAACATTTTTAAGAACTTAGGGTTAGTCAGTGAATCAGAGGTAGGGCATGGAGAGTTTTAACAAAATACAAATTTTTCAGTTAAAGAAGTGAATTGAGTATAAATCTCAACCTTCTTGTGAAATTGTAAATTAACAAGTCACGCAAGAAACAGACAAATGGTATTGGTCATTTTGGTTAGAAAAAGGTCAGGCATTTCAAGCAGTGCTGTAAGGTTGTGAAATCTGTTCATAATAGAGCCATAAAACTCCGCTCATACTTCTCTGAACATTATATGTAGAACTCGTTGCGGTAAAGAACTGTGGTGAATAGTCTTAGCATCAATATGGGAAGAAAGCATGTTTTTAGAAAACTATACTTTCAACCTTCTACTGCTTTTTAATGTTCACAATTTAGCCTTTTCTCAGTGCTTTGGTATTACTTAAAAATTAATAGAAGTATTTTAGATAATAATGACATTAAGGACCCCTGCTAAGGACCCCAGAACTTTCATGAATAATTCCTTACTAAACCCACTTTTGTTTTGTTTCACTGTCTCAGTGGAATATTTATAATTGTTAATCATGTTTCTGGTATAGAGCTGTTCTATGACTGATTTGTTTTTAGTTTGTGATAATGCTTTAAGTTCATATATAAATAACAATTCTTACATTTCCTATAAACATTAACAAAATTTGCTTGACTCATCACTGATCTTAAAATGGAATATATATATGTATATGGTGTCCCAAAAAATGTGTACACACTTAGAATAATTATTAATTCCAGTGAGTTAAATCTGAAAAGAAAGAAACATCAGTTGAGCTATTAAAAAAAAGTGTGTATACATTGTTTGGGACACCCTGTATATACATATACATTATCCTTTTAATGTGCCCTTATATAGCTTCTGTGTTTAGTGAACTTTATTAACATTTTAATCTATTCTTGCAGGGTTCATGCTTGAACCAGATCCAGAGCGTAGACCTGATATATTTCAAGTGTCCTATTTCGCATTTAAATTTGCCAAAAAGGATTGTCCGGTCTCCAATATCAACGTAAGTAGTTTTCAAAGTGGGATATGAATTTAAAATCCATTTTATTACATGCATATATGTGTGTGTGTGCGTGTATGCACATGTTCACACTTTCAGAGTTATTTGTTTCATGACAAGTAGTCTAATAGTGTTTGTGATTAGTATTTTAAATAGAAATCCATAGTTGCCAAATTGTGTACTGAAGTGCTCTAGAAAGCTGTAGTAGACTTGGGGGCACTGCATGATATTTTGCATTTTTGAGAGAAACATTGACATCTGTCTGACACAGCACAAACAACAATTATTAAGTTGTTTGGGCCAAACTATTAAAAAAAACAGAACTGTTAGATTTGGGGGTGGGGGGAAACCAGGGGTATCATGAAAAATTACTGAGACATTAAGCACTCTGTACACTGAGAAAGTTTGGTTACCTTTGGTGTGAAGAGCTTAGACATTGTAAATGGAGTGCCCTGACTTAACAGTGACTGATTTTGTATTCAGTTATCCCTCAGTATCTGCAGGACTCCTTTGGGTACCAAAATCTGTGGATGCTCAAGTCTCTTATATAAAATGGTGTAGTATTTGCATGTATAACCTGCCCACATCCTCTGTGTACTTCAAATCATCTCTAGATTACCTAATGTAAACGGTATGTAAATAGTTATTATGCTGTGGTGTTTAGGGAATAATGACAAGATGAAATGCCTGTACATGTCAGTAGAGATGCAGCCATTGTAAGTCTAACTAAATAGTACACGTCAGCAGCAACCTACTGTTTTTTCCTGAGTAGCAGTTTTGATCCGAGGTTTGTGGAACCTTAGGGTATGGGACCTGTGGGTATGGAAGGCCAGCTGTATTTTGAGAAGTTACTTAATGTTTGTCCTCCTGTAAAACAGGGACAGTAATTAGGAGGACTCCAAATAATACATGGAAACTTGGTGCCTGTTCCACGGAAGGTGCTGAGTTAGTAGTAGCTAATATCACCGAAAGACTTTGAATTATATCCTGCGTCTGCACACTGTACCTAACTGCGTGATATTAACCGTGTCTGGAAGGTCTCTGCTAATTTGATAAAGGCTCGGAATCATTGCTTAGTTTTAAGCCATTTTCAGCTTTCTGAAGATCACTCGGGCCTTACTTGTTCTTATCGGCTTTCCTTTATAACTTAACCCAGTAAGAAAAAGAAGGAAGTTGGTATCTTTTTGTTTTTTGAAGTCCTTACTATGTTAAATATTCTTTGTTGAAGCTGAAAGTCATGCAGTTCTAACATTCTAGTAATAAAAGTAGCTTCATTTGACTATAGATTTTTAGCCTTTCATTCAGTAAATATTTGAGTACCTGCAATAAGCCAAACATATTATAGAACATAAACAGATGAGGAAAGCCTTTACTCTTGTTTAGATTTTACATGCAGTGCCATGAACATTTTTGCAATATGTAGAAACAACACTTTACCCGTATGCTTGGTGTTTGGTCTTTTCCCCCAAAGTGTGAAATAGTCATTGACTTACAAGTATAATACAATCCTCCTTTTTTTTAAAAAAATGTTTTTATTGATTTCAGAGAGAAGAGGAAGGGAAAGGGAGAGAAAAGAGAGAGAGAAACATCAATGATGAGTCATTGATTGGCTGCCTCCTGCATGCCCCCCACTGGGCCTCGAGCTCGAAACCTAGGCATGTGCCCTGACTGGGAATCGAACTGTGACCTCCTGATTCATGAGTCAGTGCTCAACCATTGAGCCACACCGGGGGAGCAATACAATCCTTTTTAGCTAAGATTTGCCCATTTGTAAAGTGGATACGGTGATATTGTTCTGTTTATTTTTAAAGGGTTTTTGTGGCACATGAATATGAAAGTGACATTTGTGTAACGTGGTGATGTTTGCAGAGTAGGTGTGGCAAACATGAAAACAATTTGCAGGCATCTGAGGTGAAAGTAATAGTATCTCATAGACAGTACTTTTTAAATTTAAGAATATATCCATAGCCTTTAAATAAAGCTTTCTCCAATTAAAATGAAAACTAAAATGGCAAGTTTTATTTTTCTTCCCAGAATTCTTCTATTCCTTCAACTCTTCCTGAACCCATGACTGCTAGTGAAGCAGCTTCTAGGAAAAGCCAAATAAAAGCCAGGTAGGCAAAGCTGTGCTGACATTTGAAAAGGCTTTTTTTAAAAAGGGGATAGTTCTCATTTTTAATCCTAGCAAATGTAATTAAATATCATCTATACCCACAAAAAAATGTTGTGTTCCTTATTACATGTGGCATAGAGTTGAACAGCAAGTACAAAGTAAGGTTTTTTGTATAAGAGACAGGGTTTGATATCTGTCTCACTTGAACTGGTAATGTTACATTGGGTCATCTGGTGGGGGTTGTCATTATCACATGGCAGCTCTAATTTATGAAGTTGAGTTTTGAGTTTATAGCTTGTATGAATTTTAATTTAAGGAAAGGAAAAATAGTTCTCACAGGCAACTTTTTTATAGTATTCTAAATTCATAAACTACTTCATGTGTTCTAATACATATTTAAATGTGTATTACTGTGTATAATTTACAATGAATGGTTATAATGATACTACTTTTAAGACTTTTTACATTAAAAATACAATGTTTTAAATAATTTTTCATAGTTGTTTACTGCATTAATAATTTTGACACATACTATATATAGGTTAAGACCTGAATCTGAGTAATGATTGAATTAATGATTAAATTTTTTTCTCATGCTTTTTTTGAGTTTAAAAGTTAATAAGCAGGACTGTACTTTAGATGATATTACATACTTTCATATATAATATCTTTGTTATCTTTGAAGAGATCTATTGGTCACAGTTTTTTTATATTGTATTTTACCTATGCAGAGTATTTTATTTGACATAAAATATATTTGTCATGCACCTGTTATGTGAAAGATAGAGATACTGGAAACACAAAGAAAAAGAAGGAGTTCCCAAGGAGTTCACATTCTAATGAAGTAGATAAGTTAAACAGTTCCAACCTGATAGATATCAGGCAACTCAGCATGGAGGGAGGGAAAGATAGGGAGCAGAGAAAACAGGACACAGAAAGAACCTAGTCCTTTCCCTGGAAGTGGGGATAGCTGAACTGTTGCTTGAAGGATGAATAATATGGTCTCACTTGGAATGGGGAGTGAAACTATGATAGGCAGGCACTTCAGGCAAGAAAAATGGCCTTTGTGAGACTGAAAGGCTGGAGCATAGGGGACGTGTACGGGAATGGAGGGAAGTGTATACTGGAGCATAGGGGATGTATATGGGAGTGGTGGGAAGTGAAGCTGAAGAGGTAGGTAAATGCCAGTCAGGAGCAACTTTGTTTATATGTCATGCAGAGAAATTTGTCCTTTGGCATTTAGGCCAGTGAATTTTAAACCTTGCAGTCAGTTCTGTTTGGGACTTTGTTGTGAGTTGTGTTCTAAACAATTTGTTATTTATAAATTGTTAAAATGTCATTTGGGAATGACTTAGTTTTTTTAAAAAAAACGTGGCATCACAAAGAATATCATCTTTATTCACTTGAATTTTAAAATACTCTTGAGGATGAGATGAAGCAGTAAAGTTACATCTAACTTGCAGGAATTCATTGTGACCAATAGTATGTCCCATCTATGACATAGCTGTAGTTCGCAGCTGCTGTTATAATTGAGTGGCAATTATGAATTATTGTAGAATTGTCCATTGAATTTTTTAAAAAATATGTTATTGATTTCAGAGAGAGGAAAGGAGAGAAACATCAATGATGAGAGAGAGAGAGTCATTGATCGGCTGCCTCCCGCACACCCCCTACTGGGGATCGAGTCTGAAACATGGGCATGTGCCCTGACTGGGAATCAAACCATGACCCCCTGTTTCATGGGTTGATGCTCAACCACTGAGCAACACCAGCTGGGTTTGTTCGTTGAATTTTATTGTTACTTGTGTTTTTTAAATAATTATTTTGTTAATTATTAAGTCTTTAAGAAAATAGATATACATTAGAAGAGCATGAGTCAACTGTCAACTGAATAAGAATGATGCTCTGAATATCTTCACTATGACACAAGTTACGGCTATACAATTATAAGCAAATGAAGTAGTTAACACAGCTAAATTCACCGTGCTGTTCATAGTATGCCAAAGCTATACATCATGTACATTAAAAAATAATGTTTATTTGTACTTACTGGTCAATAATGTAAATTTACTCTATATTGGTAGTTTCCAAACTTGAAAAAAAACCTAAATATGTATAAAACCTAGTAATAAAAAAATAAGTTAGTCTTTTTTTTCATGTAAAAGCATATTTCTGGGGGTGAGGTGGGGTGGAGAAATCTTGACACAGCTAGTATCATTAATTACATGTTTTAAAGCTTTTATGAATATTATCCATCTGCCCTACTTCAGTCTGTGGTACTCTACTTTACTCCTTAAAGGCCCCCTTCCTTCCCTAAATACCTGCATCTCCTCTTGGGACTGTGAAACATGTGAAACTTAGGTGACACCTTAAAGATGGACAGGCTGAGAATCTCAGTCCTGGCAGACGGAAACACTGAAGGATTTTAGGAGGAGAGAGTCTCTGTTTTAGGAGGATTGTTCAGGTGATAGGAGGAAAGACAAGAAGGGAAGCAGAGGAAACAGCTTTGTGTCTTGCAGATGAAGCCGTTACAGCAGCATTGCTACCAGTATTCACTCAGTCTCTCATTTCAGTCAGGCGTGTATCTTCACTTTGCCTGCCTGTCCATCCATCTTCTTCCCATTTCCTCACACAGAACGCTTTGTTTCTTTTCACGGTTTAATGAAATCATATTTATTTTTTTGATCTCTACTTTCCAGTTGAAGCCTTTTCTATCCAGTTTAAGTTAAAGGTAGAATTAATTACTCCTCCATGAAACTCTTGATATTCCTAGCATGGCACTGATTATTTTCACGGTTATACTTCAGTATATTTTCATGAACGTGTGCCATATCTCCCTAGGTATACTATGGGTTCTTTGAAGACAGAGTCTTGTGCCATGTTTGCTGGATATCAGTAATTGTATATTAGATATTGGTACATCAGAAAAATAAATTAGGAAATACTAGACTAAACAAAGTGTGCAGAACTTTAGTATGCTTTTTTAAAAGTATGAGGTTTGCTCTACACTCATGTGCTGTGAATCTCTAGAGAGATTTAGAACAGGAATGAGGATGGTGAGGTCTGTTCTAAAGAATGGATAAACAAATAGAAAGACTGTATACAATATTTTCTCCAAATTACTTGAGTGTAGGGAGTACAGCATTGGTTTTACATCATCATTTGAACTCAATAAATGTTTGATTATCATAAAAATGAGATCTAGTTGGTTATATGTATACATGATCTTTTATTGCCTTTTAGTTCAGTTTTCGTATGACTTGTACCATCCCCATTTCATCTAAAACAAATACTATATTTAGAAAACAGCACACATAAAATGTCTGCGATTTTCTAAAAATTTTTAATTCAACTTCCTTTCTTTCTTAGAAAGATAGTTGTGCACAGGGCTCCCTCTTGTGGCTCATACAGATATAAGAAAGAACTAGGTCTGTGCAGGATTGTATCCACTGCAGCATATGTGCCCTTAATAAATCATATGAATGCAAAATTTTAAGTATTAAGTCATTTGAAAATATGCCCCTGGAACTTGGTAAAGAGATTGTATTGCAATCCTGTTGGAAAGTGAACATACGACTTTTAAAAGTTATTTGAGTTTTTGTACTGAATTTATAGAAAGCAAAGTTAGTAAATATATAACTTAAATCTTTTCCCTGGGTTCTTTTGAAAGAGAAGAGCAAATATCTCTGTTTTCTTAAATTATATTTATTATCTCTTTCTTTGAGAATTATGATTTACCACTGGACTGCCCATGTCTGTGGCCTAAACTAATCCCTAGTGGGAAAGTTTTATATAATTTCCATTCAGTGTTTTAAGAAAAGCAAAATTAAAGATTCAAGAAGCTGAATGTGAGCCAGTAGCTCCACTTGCTAAAAGTTTTGGCTTCTTTTGTTTTACTATGTGTCCTAGGGCGCAGTCTCTTCTTTCTTAGGCCTAGAGTCCAAGCTAAGGAAGACTGTTACTTGATGCTTCTTATTTATAGTTCTCTGACTGGTTCATAGAGTTGGCTCTCAATTTTGTCTAAAACCTTATGACAAGGTTTGTTTGTTTCCTTTATTTCATCTTCTTAGGAGCAATCTCAGTATTCTTTTTCTGCCAGCTTCAGTGGTTAGGTTTATCTTATTTTCCTATCTTCAGTAAACATTTAATACTTGAGAGTGAGACTTAGGAAGGAGCCAAGAAGACTAACATGATTATAATAATAATTAAAATGGATCTGTTGAAATAGATGGTTTTATAGAACAAATAAATTAGAAATAATCCTAATATTTGGAATGAAATGTGTTCTTTTCTTGTAGAATAACAGATACCATTGGACCAACAGAAACCTCAATTGCACCAAGACAAAGACCAAAGGCCAACTCTACTACTGCCACTCCCAGTGTGCTGACCATTCAGAGTTCAGCAACTCCTGTTAAAGTCCCTGTGCCTGGTGAATTCAGTAACCACAGATCGAAAGGTAGTATAGCCCTGCCAGCCTAGTAATTACTTTATAGTTAATGTAAACACACCTTTATGGCGTGATTTTCTAGGAGTATAGATTACTGGCAGACTTACTATTGTGAAGTGATAATATAATGCTTTAAGAAACTTCCTACTGATGTCTAATAAACTCAACTCATTGTTTTCCTAAAGTTGTAGAGAAAGGTAAGTTACTGGCGTATGAAAGTATGGTATACAGAGCTCACAGTTTGTTTATCCCTTGTGTCACCAGCTAGTAGGGTTTGAGGTTGATGATAAGATTCCAGAGTGGAGAAAATTGTGTACTGGATCGGAAGGGAGGACGTTGAAACTCTATAGCCTTACAAAGTTCTCTGTCTTTGCGCTGATCTAGAGTCTTGGCCACAGAGTCCGTCTTGGACTGTGTGGACAGTACAACATAGAAACTTGTCATCTGATTTTAAGAAAAATTGTTTTTCTAATATAAAATATCTAAGCATTATGATACAGTATGGGATTTTTAAAAATCCCCCTGTCCCCCAAGGAAATATCCCTAATATTAAAGAGTAAACTTGTTTTCTTAAGGGTTTGGGGATATAACTTAAAGGCCCATCTCAAGAAACCCTGTTTGGCACTTTATTTCGTGATATAACTGTTTCGTTTTCATGTTAACATGATTTCAATTAAAATTTTTAAGTTAGGGTACTCTAATGGTTAAAGTCCCACGTTTTGAGGCTCATGAACCTGGGTCTGAGTTCTATTTTTTCCATATTTTAGCAATATATGTCAGGAAAATGCAAATACTTCTTACAGGTTTGTTGAGAGGATTAAATGACTGCTTAATATAATGCCTGCCACAAAATATGTCTTTAAGAAATGTTAACTGTTACTACTGTGGAGTAAAGCATCTGCTCAGGGAAGAGAAGGGGTATGTTACCTGGTGTATGCTGCATACCATTTCTCAGCCTCACTTTCTCTTGCATAAAATGGGAGTAACAGCTGCTTTCCTGTTGTAAGGAGTCAATAACAAGCGTGATATCTAGGAAGTTCTGTTTCATAGTAAAGTGTCAGTGTTAATGTCTCTTTTTTCTACCTTTTGGTTTGGAGATCCTATTAGTAACTTACGTATCAGTGCCCTTCAGACAAAGACCACCAGAAACACACTTGAACAAATGGGTTTATTACTCGCTTGCCGGGGAACCTGTGGGAGTTTATCAGTAAGGTGGTGTTTGAAAGCCTTATTAAAAGATTTGGGCTTGTTTTAGGCAGTTTTGAGGAGGCTTTAAGGAAGCGGGGCTTTGCTCTGAGTGGAAGGAGTTAGGAAGGGAGTGTATGATAGCATTAGATACCTTCATAAATAGGAGAGAAGCCAAAGCCTCCCTTGCTGAAGAAGCAGCACTCAGTTATGTTAGGCAGGTCGGCAACGGGTTTGGTCCCTCTGTGGCGGGTAGTGCTCCTGATTTTGTCAGTGTTGAGACATAGTCATGGAGTGGTCTTGTCCTGATCCATCATGGTCACAGAGTGGCTTTGTCTGATGTTGGTGTTTTGTGAAATTGCTCCTGTTTATCTGGATAACAGTAAGAACTGGCTGCAAATGTCAGGCCTGCTTCCCATGTCAGGGGCAGCATTTCTCTTACATGCTTCTAGCCTAGGCTGGAAAAATAATACTGTTTTTCCCCCATGTGTACAAAATAACACATGAGTCAATTATTTTAAAATATTGAGTTAAGCCGGGCCGGGTGTGGATCAGCGGTTGAGTGTCAACCTAGGATCCAGGCGAACGGGGTTCATGCTGGTCAGGGCACATGCCCGGGTTACGGGCTCGATCCCCAGTTGGGGGCATGCAGGAGGCAGCCGATCAGTGACTCTCTCATTGATGTTTCTCTCTCTCTCTCTCCCCCTTCCTCTCTCTGAAATCAATAAAGATATATTTAAAAATAATAATAAAAATGAAATATTGAGTTAATACAGAAATAATCAGAGAAAAATGTAAAGGTCTCCATTCTTTTTCTTTGCAGAATAAACTTGCTATAGCTCAGTGTGCATACCAGTGTTTGGTATTATTAATAGTATCGTGGTGAACATTCTTATATCAGACTTGATTTACATATCAGAACATTTCTCTGAGAAAGATGTTAAAAGTATGCTTAATCAAAATTTGTTAGATACTGCCAAGTTTCTATCCAAAAAAAAACTTCAAAAATTACACTACCATCAACAGTGTGAGTGCCTTTTCATTCCTGTCCTTCTCAACACTTGGTAGTATTGGTTTTTAAAAAAATGTTTCCCTGTTGACTGGTGAAACTTTTTTTGGTTATATTTTAATATTCCTGGTGAATAGCATCCTCTCATATGTTTACTGGCCATTTGTTTTCTTCTGTGGATTATTTTTGCAATTTTTTATGAGAGTGTCTTTGTTTTTATTGCTCTGAAGGTTTTATTTTTGCCAAATGTATTTTATTTTCTTATAGTTTATCATTTGCCTTTAACTTTATTTGTGAATTCACTTAATTTCTTTGAGCCTTTGTTTCATCATTTGCAAAATGGGGAATAATGGTAGGATTTAATGATGTACTTGAAAGCATTGTTTTCTTGTGAGCTTGTTGTGATGTTTGGGAATTCTCTGGTGCTCCATGGCCTTGTCTTGAGAACCAAGGAGCTCTGTTCAGCTTGATGACACTAAAGAAAAGTCACAGTTTGTGAGGTGAGAGGTGAACCTCACACATTAATGCATGACGATCATTGGTTTGTGATTGCGTTTCCTGCCCAGCCACAGTGGCTCTTCACCTATACATCAGGGTGCTAAACAAAGACTGGGTAGCCAAGGAACTTCACCTTTTGATACTCTTCCAACTAGAAATAAATATACTTAAAAGGCTAAGAATGGTGGTTATGTCTGTGGTGCAGTTATGGTTTTAATTTTCTTCTATATATTTTATAAATATTTTCAGGAGTAATTAAAATGAACAAGCAGTTTCTCATAATTGGAAGACTTAGTTATAAAGCTGTTGTCACAGAGGTGTAATACTTCAAGTCCGGAGAGGTCCGCAGATGGAAACGACCCCGTCTCTCCCTCCTTGCACTCTTTCTCCTTTTCCCCCTTAGGATTAAAAAGGTGCATTTGAATTTATGGTAACTCATTGGAAGAGAATATAGAAATTATAGTGTATTTCATTTTCTCTTTCTAGTGTTGTGTGTGTCTTTTATTCCCATTGATTGCAAAAGTTTTATTCATGGGATATTCCTAAGGTAAAATTTATGAAGCTTGCAAATAAATATCCATTTAGGAGACAGTGTTAATACATTTACTATAGTAGCATTTATTGACCTGTTGTATAAAAGGTTCTTTGGGGTGCTAAAAGATATATCAGTCATCACCCCATCCCTCTGGGGCCCTAGTTAGGAAATAGCCATTAAATAATTAATATGTGCAAAGCATGAAATGTTGCAAACCTAATAGAGGTGTTAGATGAAGGAACACAGAAGAGAGGTTTGAGCTAAAGTTAAAGGATAAGAAGAATTGCAGAGGGGGAAAGTGACATTCTAGATGGAGAGAGTCATTTTGGCAAAGACACAGGCTCTCATCAGTTCATGACATACTTGAGAAATACAGAACAAACTGACACTGCTGCTTTGTCCATGGAGAGATGAAATGTGAAAGATGAAATATTTCTAAGATGTTGACTTGTTCAGAGTTGCAGCTGACAAAATGAACTTTCATGGGTACTTAGAATTACCGTAAATAATCTTTTGAAACTATATGTTCATGGAAGTTTCTTTATTATTAAATAAGGACATAAATGCTTTGGCAAAATGATTATTGAAATTAGTTTTTTGAAATACAGCCATTTTTTTGAAATCCATAAGTATATTAATGTAGGTTTTTGGAAACTCCTTTTAGGAGCACTGAGACCTGGAACCAGCCCTGAGATTTTACTGGGTCAGGGGCCGCCTCACCCTCAGCAGCCTCCACAGCAGCACAGAGTACTTCAGCAACTACAGCAAGGAGACTGGAGATTGCAGCAACTGCATTTACAGCATCGCCATCCTCACCAGCAGCAGCAGCAGCAGCAGCAGGATGCTTATATGCTGCAGGTAATTCTTTTGTTACTTTAGATATAGAAGTAGTGTTGGAAATTTATGCAGCTTTTGAGTATCAGTGAATTTTTCTTATCATGGGCGCCTTGAACTCTAGACCCAAGTAAACATTTTGCTCTATTTTCTGACTACCAAAGAATACATATTTTATTTGCATTCTGTGAGCTACTTAAGAATACTCTGCTGAAATAGTTGCATTGTGGCTTCCTGAAGCAAAGAATGTTCACCTAGTCATTTGGCATCATGAATAAGCACTGCAATTTATGATAATGCTTTTTTAGTTACATTTTAGGCTCGGATACATAGACTATCATTATGTTGTTGTTGGAAAGGTGATAGTAAGCTTTCAGAAGTAACATTGTCTTAGGTTTTGTACTTGTATTTTTGCTTTGGTTGGTGTGTTTGTAAATGGTGGAGGGAGGCATTTAGAATTGGAAGGGACATAGAGAAAAATGACCTTAAGTTCTGTTCCGTCCTTTGCCTCATCAGAACCTGCAAATTTCTAGTTTGACTAAACTATTTTAAATTTAATGACCATCATCCTTTCATCATTTCCTGAAATGTTTTTGAGCCAGTCATATGTATGACACTTCTCATGGGTGCCTCCCTCCTCTGGCCTTGACTGTTAGACCCAGAGTGGCGAGTAGTGTTAAGTAGGTGATGACCGGAAGATATCATTGAAGGGGAGATAGAGGAGCTTGGGAATTTACTGTAATGAGTCCTGGACACAAGTAACTTCGAGGTCTCCATCAACTGGTAAATGTGTTTAGGTTTCTTCCCAGCATCCTTAAACTGTCCTGGAAATGGTTTTAGTTGACTCTGTTATGTTTCATTGATAATTCTGAAGCCATTTCCAATAAACATATATAAGTTGTAGTCACTGACTAAAGCTATTTGACATTGGTGTTTGGACTCCTGAGTACCCAAGTCATTGCTATAGTAAGATCAATACTTAAAAAAAAAGACTATGGAACAAAAAAGGCACGAGTAATATTGATGAACTTGTTTGCTTTTCTCATTGCAGTATCAACATGCAATACAGCAGCAACAGATACTGCAGCAACAGTACTTAATGCATTCAGTCTATCAGCCACAGCCTTCTGCACCACAGTATCCTGCAATGGTAAGCGTTACATAATTTGTAGAGATTTCTCTCTGAGTATTTTGTTGGAATTCACAGTGTGAGTGATATTATTCAGAATTTAATTATTCAAGATCAATTCAAGTTAGTTAATTACATGTATTTTATCAAAGCCAGTATTAGTTAATTACATGTATTTTATTAAGCAGCTGTAAAGTGTGCTGAACTATAGTTCCTGAATTTGGCACATTGTATCTGACTGATAGTATTTTTCATTTATCTCATCGTATAAGGGAAATAGATCTGTCACCCATGATCTTTTTGTCATATGTCTCTTTCACTTGGCAAATGTGAGTTGAAGAAAAATAAACCCAAATGAACATTGCATTTGCTTCAGAGAATATTTGACTTTTCTTTATAGCAGTCACTGTACTATAAAGACTTTATTGTCTTAAATATTTAAAGGAGAATTTTTGAATCCTGCCTGATTGTGTTAGCCTAGCTTCACAGTTTTTAACTAGATTTATTTCATCTTGCAATACTTTTCTAGTAGCCAAATGCTCCTTTAGATATTAATTACTTTTTAAATTTCTGATTTTGTTGCCAATATGAAAGGAAGGAACATAGAAAGTGGGTGTGGGGCTGACAGTGTGCTAGTAAACTTGAACATTGCTTTATATAATGGCATTTCTTGCTTCAGGTGCAGCGGTATCAGCAGGCTTTCTTGCAGCAGCAAATGTTAGCTCAACATCAGCAGTCTCAACAACAGGCGTCACCTGAGTATCTTACCTCCCCTCAAGAGTTCTCACCGGCCTTAGTTTCCTATACTTCATCACTTCCAGCTCAGGTTGGAACCATAATGGACTCCTCTTATGGTGCCAATAGGCAAGTATTTTTCCCATGAAGGCTAAGTAAATTCTTGTGGAAGTAGGTGCCATTGTGGAGTGTAGTCACTAAGTGGCTCCTGAATTACTTTAGAGCCCATCTTTCTGTAGAGTGCCCCCTTTTCTCTTGCTAGTTCTTGTGGTCCCTGTGCATCCCCATTCTTCCTTGCATTTCTGTTAGTTAATTTGGCTGACTGCTATTTGTGGATAAGGCTTACAACATCCAGCAGCATTTAAGGTTAAAAACATTGGCTTATATGTTAAGGAGTCCTAATTTAAGTAGAAACACAACCTTAACAAGCTACTTTACTAGTTAAAAATAATCCTTGTAGACAAGTTAATGTAACTTTTTAAACATATATTATTATTTTTAATTAATTTGATAATATTTACTCATAAAAATTATCTAATTTTGTTTAATTTAAACAGGCAACAAAAAATTTTTATGTGTCACTTGGTCCTTTTTAAGATATGTTACAGCAAGCTTATTGTTACCATAGTAACAGATGGGAAACATGTTATATAGATACATTGGTTAATAGAGTTATTTTTCTTGGATAATTCATATTGTAAAGCATTATAATAAATGAACTGCAATAGAAATTTTTTCAAACTTAGATTTGATATGGGGAATGCTTCTGAATTTTATAATTAAGAATCTATTGACCATTCTGAATACTTCTTAATATATTTAGATATGTAGGAAGAAGTAGCTGTTAGAGTTTTGGTTACTGGTACATCAGCTAAGTTTTCATACAACACAGGATATGAAACAGCCTGGAAAAGGTGTCTACAAGCTTTGGCTTGGAGTTGGGCATGAGAAACAGCAACATGAGTAGCGTACTTGTTCACTGAACATGTCAAGAGAGGGTTAAAGTATACAGTTTGCTATAGTATACCTCATAACCTGTGGGGTGGGAGGGGCAAACAAAGTGATGTTTTGACGTGCTTTCCTAAATCAAAACTTGAGATACATGAATTAGGACCAGCATATCTAAGTGGAGAGCAGGTCATAGGATCCAAGCTGGTTTAAAGGTCTGGATCCATGTTTGCCAGACTTTATCGTTTGTGGACTCTAGTTACAAATTTTGATTTACCCACATAGCCCTTTTTTCTTTAATAAAGTAATAGTATTGTTGTAAATAATAAAATTAAACAATACATATTTTAAACAAATTAAAGCACTAAAATATAATCTATGAAATACAAGTAACAATCTAAGAAATTTACAAAAAATACCTGAAAATAAGTCCTCTAGGGATAAGAATGGAATGGTTTTATTCTTCATTAAAAACAGGATATTCTTCTTGATATTGAGACTGATGAAGCTATTGTATTAGATGATTTATTTATTTATTTATTTTACTTTTGATGTTAACTAGCATCAAAAATGCCAGTTTTATCTAGTGTATATGGTTGGAAAATGCAAAAATATTAAACTGTAGTCTCTGATATAGCATATACTTATGTATACTTTGTTTTCTAAAGGATTACCAACCTCTGGAAATAAAGTTGTGTCACAGGAATGGAATCATGAATTGGAAATTCATGAGAGAATTCATGTTAGTGGCCCATAGCATATTATTATCTAAACTCCTGATTATTTATAAGGAAAGATGACTATCCAGAGACTTGAGGCATGTAAGCATGCAAGGCGCTGATACCTCTAACTTACGTGAATTACCAGAGCACTGTCTACTCGAGTCTCACCTCCAGTGATATTGCTCATGAAATACAGTGTGATATGTTAGATAAATATTTTTCTAATTTCTATATAATTTTAAAATAAAATAATTTTGGGAAGCACGGGGCTTGGTGCTCGTGGAAGCATGTGGGACTTGTTTTACTGCACTCCTGGGAAGGGATGTGTTGAGCGAGATGGAAGGACTGAGCAGGAAAGGGGCAGATTGGGCGGGTGGGAACAATTGCTATGCACTGGCAAAGAGATGCTAGGGGCACAACTCCCCACGAGACACTGCTGCAGCCTCACTTTGTGCCGCAGTGCTACTTCATCAGTTACTCCTATTTAGTATCGGTCTTTATACACAGGATTGTATGTTGAGTGGTATCTTCTGAAACAATTTAAAAGGTGATTTGTAAACATATACTCCTGCTTATGACTCAGTCAGTAGGAGATGAGAATTGGGGTTAAGTGTTTGGCTCTAAGCATATAAGGGACATTTGGGTAGAAGAGGGAAAGGGTCACTATCTTGGTTAGCACTATTATTTCCTTTTACTTCCCAATTAACCTTCTTCTGAAATTCCTACCCTCCACTGTGTTAATATATCTTCAGTATGAATATTGGAGAGTATTACTGTGTTGTATTCAAATAAGTTAAATAAGTAAATATCTATGCATGTATTCTTATGATATGAATCACCCTGTAGTATTAGTTATTTGTTGCTACATAATAAGTTATTGTAAAAGTTAGTGGTTTAAAACAATGATAAACATCTCACACACTTTCTTTGGATCAGGAATTTAGGAGTGGCATAGCTGTATGGTTATGTCCAGGAAAGGGTCTCTCATGAGGTTATAGTTAAGATGTTGGCTGTGGCTGCAGCCACTTGAAGGTTTAATTGGTACTGGAGGATCCGTCAGTAAGATGGCTTACTCATGGCTTTGGGTAGGAGGCCTTAGTTCTCTGCTGTAAGTATTCTCCTTAGCAAAGCCAAAGACTGTTTTGAACAGGGAATCATCTATTCTGGTTTCTCCCAGAATGAGTGTTCCATAGAAAGGATAAGAAGGAACCTCCAGTGCCTTTTATGGTGTTTTAGTCTCAGACGTCACACACTGGCATTTTTCTGCCATATTGCATTTGTTAGAATCCTAGCCCACATTCAAGGGCAGTGAATTTGGTTCTACCCTTAGAAGGGTAGAGTGTCAGAGAACTTGTAGACATATTTTAACACCTGTTTAAGATCCCTCCCCCTGGCTCCCCACCCCACTGAGTTGTAGTCTACCAAGAAGAATCCGTTAATTCATCCCAGGAACAGAAAGAAGATTCAGGTAGGGAATAAGAACTTTCTGAAAGGTCATTGACAGGCAGGATGGCAATGCCCTTTTTTTTTTTTTTTTTTTTTTTTTTTTTTT